GGCTGCCTACGAGAAAACCCCTCGTTACAGGCAGCGCGATCGCCTTCTCCTGCGCGGTGCGGAGAAGGGCGGCTCTGACCTCCCTTCGCGGGAGCCTGGGTGCTCGCAGGTCTCTGCACCCCGGCGTGGGGCCGTGCCCCCCCAGAGCAGAGGCACCCGTCAGCTGCCTGGGTGCCGCTGCGGTCCCGGCGATCCGACGGCTTCCAGGGAATGTGGTAGGAAAGAGGGGGTTTTGCATGAAAACCGCTTCTGCTCTGCTGATGCATCTGTGATGCACCGGCTGGGGCTTTGATCTTTGTTGAAGAGGGAGCCCGTGCAGCCTGGCCACCCAAGGGTGCCCCGTTTGAAGGGTGCATTTTAGGTATCGCAGTTCGCAGGCTCCATCCCATCGCTGCCGAGCGGCAGTTTCGGCTCCGGGGGCTTTGCTGCTTGGTGAAGCCGGGACTTTGCTGCTTGGTGAAGCCGTGAGGACGGGACCTCTGTGTGGTTCCCCAGCAATGTTCTCGCGCTTCGCACCGCGTTCCCTGGGCTGCAGCTCTGCTGGCAAGGGGCATCCCCCGCTGCCGCTCGCTGCCCGGGTTCCCACGCGGTGTCAGCCGTTCGCGGGCATGCCCAGGCTCTGGGCGCGCAGACGGAGCTGGGGATGGAGGAAGGGCTCTGTTATTTGTTCTTGTCCAAAAATCAGCTGCTTTTGAACTCTGGTTTTGGTAGCCAAGTGTCCCCCTCCCTCTGTGTCCAGCGAGGCCCCAGATGAATTCGTTCCCCTCGGCTGCTTGGTACCCTGAGCAGAGCAGTCGCCCTGCCGGTGCTAAGCTCGGGTTCTCCTGGGATGAAATTCATGAGTCTGCTGCTCACTGATATGGTCCCAGGCAGAGTTGGGCACCTCCAACCCATAATGTCCTGCACGAATTCAGCAACCCCGTGCGGAGTTCCAAAGTGCATCAATACTTTACCTGCCTTCCTGCTGCAGGTGAAATACATCCCAGCTCAGTGCAGCACAACGAGTCTATAGTAACCCAACGGAGGAAACAGAGGAATTGTCGTAGTATTTTATTTCAGTGAACAGTCACGATGAATTTTTTACTTCTCTCTGGTGCTGCTAATATGCTTGTCTGCTCAAGCCAGTCGCAGAACCGGGCAGCGCTGTGATCTGGTGGTATTTGTATGCCTTTATGTTGGTGCTCGTGTCATGCAAACACATGGCCAAAAGAGCTCTTCCTGCCCTGAGGAGTTCACACCCCGAGTAATGCGGTCCTGCATGGGACGCCGGCGGATGGGGCAAAATGAAACACTTCCAGGTGGGGAGCGAGGTGGAGAGATTAGGGCAGAGCGAGGCAGTCGGGCCGCCTGGCCGGGGTTCCCAGCCCATTACCCACCGGTGGGTGGTTTGGGCAAACCAGTTCCCCCGTAGAGCGGGGATGAGTCACTCCGGGCGTGAGGCTTGGTTCAGTGCGCGCAGCGCGTTTAGACTCTGGGGTCACTGCAGAGGTGCAAGACGCTGCTTGGATTTTGTCTTTTTTTTTCCATTTAGTTTGAATAAGCAGCCAAAGTTATGCTGTAAATTATAAAATCAAGCAAAGAGCAATGCAGAAATTTTAACCATCAGGTAATACAGTTACGGTGTCTTTTATGTGGTTCAAATCTGTCAAACATATTTAAAAAATGTATTTTGCAGTAAGCTAGGTCTTCATATCCACATCTGGAGCTGTAGCTCACAAAGAGCGACGCGTTCGGACAGCTGTGCAAAGAGAGTTTTGCAA